ATACAGGTGATACTGACAAACACGGGTCCGACTGTTGGACTACAGTACACCTCTCATACAGGTGATACTGACAGACACAGTTCTGACTGTTGGACTACAGTACACCTCTCATACAGGTGATACTGACAGACACAGGCCTGGCTGTTGGGTCACCTTAGGGACAGAGTTCAGTGGGATTGAGGACACAATTCAGTGAGATTGAAGACATAATTCAGTGAAATTGAGGGCACAGTTCAGAGTTCAGTGGGGTTGGGGACAGATTTCAGTGAGACTGGGACAACTGTGGACCAAGGAAAAGAGAGAGAGAATTTGAAAGTCCATAAATCCATAATTCAACCCACAACAGCTGTGTCCTTTGTGTGTATCTCCACTTTGTGGGGACGCCTGATTTGGACTAGTCCAGAGATTAGATTACAGCTACAGCCATTTACACAGTAATTGATCAGAATAAAGGCATAGTAACTGAGGAAACTAGTAAAGATGTGTTACGAAATCTTTTATTTAATAGACAACTCAAGGAGAGTGTCTGATAACTCACTTATACCAGGTAGCCACTATCGCTAATACACAGGTAGTAGCCTTTATCTTTAGTGCACACAAACTTACATACTTTTTGTTTGCAGTCTATCTACCGTGTAGCTACAGTAAATACTAAATACTGATCTCTTTGTGACGTGTTACATGTTGGCATACATTAGCAGCAAGGTACATCGTTCGCATGCGTTTTTGCAAGGCGAAAGAAAGTTCATTTTCTTCTTTTCTAGATAATTCCGGTAGAGGAAATCGCGGTTCAAGTCGAGAGGCGTGCAGGAACTGCGCTTCAGTTCAGTGCGCTGGCAGTGTCAGGTGCATCGCGGGCCATGGCGTTCGGCGGTGCGGTTCTGCTGTTCCTCGGGGTTTCAGGTGAGAAGCGCCGGTCGCAGGTCCGGGCGGTGCGCGAGCCGGGCTCGGACCTGGGGGGGGGCGAAGAGAAGGTCCACGGACCATCGTGCGTCTCGAGCGCCGGACGGCAGAAGAGGCGCGGATGTGATGTAGGAGGTGAAGCGCCCTGGCTTGTGAGGCATCGTAGAAGCACACATGCCGGTGAAGATGCAATAATGATGAAAAAACTGTTTTAGAATTGTGAATACGAGCAATACTTGCCGGTAAATGCAATACTAGCTTTCCAAATGTGTTTAAACGTGTTATATTGCTTCGTGGGACACCTCAGAACTCAGTGCTCTGTCTTTATAATAGGTCTATACCTTCACAGAAATATTATAGTAAACGACGGGATCAAAATGTCCGCAAGGATCCCGCTGGGTACTGATGTAAATGTTAATATCTTAAGAAGAAACAAGTTTTTTATGTCTGCATTTGGAAAAAAAAAGATCCAGGCATAGGTGTTGGACGTTATTTAGAGATGTATGCTTTTTCAACAGCATTGCAATTATAATCCAAGTCCTACAGTGTAGTTTAAAGACATTGAAACCAGAGTTGTCAGGATTTAGGCAACTAAGCCTGCTTGACCGTACACTCGGTGTGGACTGGGTACAAAATATCAGCAGGAAGAGAACATTTCAACTATAAAAAAAAGTTAATTCAAATTGAACCCGTTGTCTCAAAGCACACTTGATTAAACTACCATCCTCCCAGCTGCAGAGTCATTCCCTCAATGCATTTATGCTGACTTATACATGGCTTTTCCTTGTTTCTTGTGGAGCAAAGGAACAAAACTTTTATTCTCAAATAGTTACTTGACTTTCAGAAACTTTGCTGGTAATCACTGGATGTTCCAGGGGTAAACTGAACTGAACTGTAGATAATGAACCGTTTCCCAGGGATTCTCTGTCCTCCCTCGCAGTGTTTCTGGGGACGCAGTTGTTTCTCTGCCTGGCTGTAGTAAAGTACGCCAGGTCACTGCACCAGTACGGACAGGAGAGGCCTGCCATGGATCCAGTCTTCTGGATGTGATGACCGTGGCCGGACGCAGTGGATCGTAAACATGGTAAACCTGCTGTAGACATAGAGCCGAACTGCTGTTCTCTTGAGTGAAGTCCTTCACTCCCCTCGCTGGGGTATAAGAAAGACCGCCAGTGGAACTGCTCACACAGCACCAGTGCCACTGCCAGTAAGACATGCCCTGCACAAAGCCAGTGTCCTGAAGAGCTGCATCACATGTGACATCTAAAAGCTCTGTGGCTGCCATTAAGAGCCCTCTACTGTAATATTACTGCGTATGGTGCAATATAGTATTTCAGCATCGCACTGTGGTTTGAGACCAGTGTAATTAAAATCACGCTAGCAAGAAAGAACAAGGGCTCAGGTGTTAAGAAGGTATCTTACAGAAGTCACCCTTTACTGTAATGGATGGATGGAACTGTTCTCAGAGTTGCTCACAAGATGCTTACATTTATCACTAACAACCTAATAATTAAAAAAGCCTGACTTTGATGAAGGTGTCTGTGAATTTAATCTGTTTCTTGAAGGAAATGTGCCTTCCAGGAGTCACACAAGGGGAATCTGTGTCCTGTTGTTTTTTATATCGTACTGTATGTGATCAGACACCGAAAGTATGACTTTAGGCGCAGAGGAACAGTTCCTTGTCTTCAATTTCTGATGTGTTTAGTGATTTTAAGTTCCCACAGGGTAAGAATATCTCCCACCCTCTCTAACTTCCGGTACATTTCAACAATCCTGTTTTGAGTTTTATATATAGCTGTGTGGTCCTTTAATGACAATAACGATAATATAACCTGCCCCTGTTTGATTACAACCCTGCTCCTCAACGCCCACCTACAACATTTACTTCAGCTCGGTCCCAGGTATCAGTGCAAGTTCATACACTCTGGGAACAAGTCCATCAAATTTCATTTCAAGCTTTCTTAACCCGTGGGGAGGGGGGGG